TGAATTCCACTTAATACGTTCCGAATAAAAATCAAAATAATTAATGCTGTATGTACCTAGCAAATTGATTATGTGTACATTTCCAGGCTTGAATTAGGGAGAGATCCTTTCCGAATCCCGGCGTGGAGGCCGGCTATAATGACTGACGCATTTTTTTGTTTTCCTTATGTCCATCATGAAAATTTTCTGGTTATTACTTTATATTTGGGCACAACCTCTTCTTTCTACATTCTTTCCAATTCATTCTTCTCTACCATCGAATCATTCGACACTATATAATGCGACTTGCTGACAGTATCGTTAAATGAAATACAAATATCGTCTCTGCGATAGTCTGTTCCTTTCGCAACTTAGTCCTTGCGAGGAAGCGTAATTTCATATTCCTAAAGTGAAATCCTTTTAACAGCAAAATAACTTAATGTTCTTCATCAATTATGAGATTTCTACGAAAAATAAAGTCTGCGTGCCGTTAATTAGTCGTTTGATGCCGTTGGAAATTATTTCTTTCTTCAACTAAATGAGGTTAGCTAACTCCTAAAGCTGTTTACTACTGAACCATAATGAGGACCCCCAAGTTAAGTTATCCATATGCGTCAGTTTGGTGACATCGTGTATGTATGAAGCAGTTAACAAACAGGGCTGTTCCTCCGAAACACCGTTTGAATTTCTATGGACTACACGCATTATATCCAAGACGACAAAATTCTTCATAACTACCCCTGTGAAAACCTGAAATTCTGCGTCATGTCTGTACGAGATCCTTACAGTTGCGGTTATGAAGAGTACCATTTTCTGGGATATGACGCCGTGTAGTCTGTTGAGAGTCGATCGAAGAGTAGGAGGAACCTATCGCCGGGTGTTTATTGCTCGGATTATTCTTCGACCTTGAAGAAGTAGGCAATTTTTTCTCCGAAACGTCTTTTGAACATCAGCAGACTACATGATGTTATATCCCAGAAGATAGTACTCTTCAGTTCTGTGTGTTCTCAGTAATTACTGAACCAGTGTTCGGATTATACCAATATAGTTTTAACCCTGTCTGTGGCTTAGGTATCTAAGGCACACGAAGACTTGTGAATGATTGTCGTACTGACATTACCACAGAATGGCCAAAAAATGAATAGGAAAGGATTTGAAAGGAAGAGATAGTGTTCTAATCGAGGTACTATCTCGTAATTTGCCTGGAGGGAGTCAGGAAAACCAAGAAGAACCTCAAGGCGCGTCCACATTACTCATGCTCGTGCTCGTGCTCGCCAGGCTTGTGTTCGTCGGGAGACTCATCTGGCTTTTACTTGTGCTCGTAAATCTTCGTCCACACTACTTCAGTTGCTCGCCAGGTTTCGGCGCGTGAGGATCCGTATATTTACTCGTAGTGTGTAAAGGCCGTAGTTGTATTTTAATTTATTGGCTATAGTTTTTAAATTATAAATTAAAAATTAGCTTGTCTCGTGCGTTGTCATATTATCTACATTACTCGCGAGCATAGCGAGTCAGACGAGCACGAGCACGAGCACGAGTAATGTGGACGCGCCTTTAGGCAGGACTGCATGTGTCGTGGTCGAGATTCGAATCGATTACCTCTCGAATACAATTCTAGAGCGCTACCGCTAAGCCAGCTTTCTCGGTATTATTATTCCTAAAATGGGAACTAAGATAACGGCTACCACGTGACTTGCATATCGATTTTTATAAGAATTACCTCTTCACTGTAAGTAAATGAAGTTTCATGTGCATTCCTTGGGGATTCCCCCCCTCTTCTCGAAGACAGAACGTCTCTCTGGGTTTTATATTACCCAGCCGCTGAAGGTTTCAAGACATTTGAGAACGTTCACTGGATTTCCGTACTTTTATTAATTTCATGTATCTATGACCTGCACATATATATTTAATTCGTATGCTTTAGTTTCTTGGGGTGTAGTGAGACTGAACCCACTTGGTATGTAGGCCATTATTTGGCCTATTTTACCAGCCCCGGATGATAGATGATGATGAATGTGGAGCAGTCAGCGGAATGAGAATTGGCAGGGCAAACCGAAGTACTCGGAGAAAACTTCCCCCTCAGTGCCATTTTGACAACCACAAATCCCACATGAGTTGACCTTGGCTCAAATCCGGGCCCCCGCAGTGGGAAGCCGGAAATTAACCTCGTGAGTTATGGTACAGCTCGCTGGCTTCCCATCGCGGCGTCCAGGGTTCGATTCCGGGTCTGGTCAAGTGGGATTTGTGGTGGACAAACTGGCACTGGGGCAGGTTTTCTCCGAGCACTTCGGTTTCCCCTGCCAATCTTCATTCCACCAATTGCTCCACAATCACCCTCACCCATCATCTGGGGATGGTACAATAGGCCATAAATGCTCGCAGTACAAGGGACTTAGTCCCAGCTCACTAGCAATAAAAATAAATACTGATAATCTGAGGTACACTTCAAATTACCATACGTAATTCTTCACAAATATTTCTGTATTCAAGATTTCAAATGGTCTATATACGTTTCCGTTATTACTGGTGTTAACGTCCACATAGGGCTGTATAACACCTGAAATTGCAGCTCCTATGAACAACGATAGATAAGAGGTAGCTTGCTGATCTAGCGATGAAGAAAGAAAGGTCTGCAAGAAAAATCTTACATCGGCCAGCCACTCTACGGCCAGTCACTTTGTTCGGCTCATAAGCAAATCTCTGTCCCGTTAACTCCTCGAATGCATGCGCCAAGCCAGTTCCTTATAAACATTTTATCCTGCAGATGAAATTAGAATAAATCTTCTTGCCTTCGTCATTTCGTTGACCTTCCTTGCATTCAACTTGCTTCAGTCTGAAGACGGATATGGTCCTGTTTCTAATTACTACCGACACACAGACGTATACAGGGGCAGGAAAGTAAGGCACCACTGAACCTTAACCTCAAAACTGGACGGACGTTTGCTAGCAGCATCACGGTCAGTTGTTCTACTGAGTAGGAAGATAAGTGGGGCATGAACATGCTCACCCATATGTGTGAGGTACCCGATATTATCCTCGAGCAAGGACAGCGTATCTTACCTCAGATATTTTATAATTTTCCACAATCCTTCAAGCGGAATTTTGACATAGTACTTTGATACAGGTCACTGTCACCTCCAGCATATCTCGGGTTTGTTATTCACAATCACCCTTATTATCTCAGTTGATGCAAAAAAAACAAAACATTAACAAAATCCAATCACACCAAACAAAATACAGTTCTTATAGAAAGTTAATTAAAGTTCATTCGCTACAGTAGATTTCTGAAATCACAACTTCAGACATGAATTATTTACTGGAGAGTCTACAGGGCACATTTCTTGAAACCCGAATAAGTAGGAACACTGTCTTTGCAGCCTCTGCACACTGACAGCGAATTCATCAGGTTTATGAACCCCGGCTTATCACTTTCTGGGAGGCTGTAAACTTTGACTTAGACTCCAGGGACTTACATGCGAGCTACTTAACAATAATTGCGTAACAAATATGTGTGTTACGTATTTATTCACCTCTTTACGGAAATCAACTACAATATTTTATATACCACCTGCTGTTCTTAGCCCTTCATGCCATCCATGGAAATACTGCGAACCAGATAGAAAAGTTTATGAATTTGAGACCTCAGATATTAAATATTTGTCTTCCCTGTTTTTCTCTTTTTTCCTTTTACTCTTTTCTTTTCCTTTCTTTATATCCTTTCTCCCTCTCATTTTTCTTTATTTTCTTCATTTTTCCTTAACTCATTTCAATTCCTCCCCTTTTCTATCTCTGTTTGTATGGAATATATAAAATTCCTCTACATATCTTCCCTAGCTCTTCTTCTTACTCAGATCATGGAGAGAGGGACGGACGGATATGACGTCATTTAGCGACACTAATTACCACTGTAATCGAAGAATAGGAAGTTACCATTTCGAATTTCGTTTAAGTATTGAAACTTAAAGACTCATCATGTACGGAGATTGTGTGTGTAGGTACAACAAATTTTTCTTTCAGGAATATTTGCAACCCTGATCTGAAAAATAACATTTCTCGATATGGCATGTACCGAGATAAAGAAAGCCATTATAGTTTCAAATGAAGCATCACTCCGTAGGACGGATAGCTGTAATTTATAACTAAATTGCATGGGCATTTGATAAAAAATTGCAGCAAATCTAGCATAGAAAATGGAATTTAAAATCCCGAATACTCTATGTGAATTGATGGGCGACTTGGTAGCTTATTTTTTGTATCGCTAAGGCATTCTGTGGCTTCAATTTTGTCAGAAATTTTGCAAGTTGCTAGATCTTGGAGGAAGGAGAAGCTTTTGAGTGAAGAGAATTTTACATATTGATATGCAAAATGTGTAACTGGGAAACCGTTGCTCATTCGATACCAGGGACATAGAGTAACTTGGGTAATCAGCTTTCTGACTGATTCTGGCTTGTTGCTTCCTTGGCTTACTCCTCGGTCCTTAAAAAGGTGGCTGTATTTTTCACCTAAGCTTCCATAAAATTTAACTAAACTATACGGAGCCACATTCCAGAAGACAGCACTCTTCATAATAATAATTTCAATTATCAATTTTTAATATTTTTGTTATTTAATGAACATTTTTTTAAATCAAATATTGTATTGAATGTTGTATGAAAATGCGATAAAAATTTTCCCTGCAGATGTAAGAACCTAACGTTTGTACATAGTAAATGCCATATTGCAATATTGCGTTCAAGGCGATGTAACTAACAAACATTGCCTGATAAAAGGTATATATAGTTCTAAAGTCACGTCTCAATTAGGCCGGCTAAGATCGGTTGTACAGGGAATAGAGATAACTGTTTCATGACGGAGTTCTAGCGCGGGTGAAAAGCTGAAACGTGATGACTTTCGAAACACGTTTTAATTAAAACAAATGTCGCAATAATGAGTGAGAACGATTGATCAGTGTTCACTTATAGTGTTTTGTAACAGCAGTGCATTGTACCTGCTCTCTGATAACTCCATCTTATGTGTTTCAGCATCTGCATGTCTTCAGTACATGATGACAGGCAGCAGTCTCATCAAGGTGAGGCCCAATTCCCGGCAATACCATCGCTTCTTCACTCTCGCTGAAGATCTCAATGCCATACGTTGGACTCCTACGTCCAAGAAATCTTCCAAAGCTGTAGGCAAGTATCCCCCAAAGGTGTTCCACCTTGTCGTGGCGGTGGGACTTACGTGACTCTCTGACCTAGAGAGCTATGCCGGCGGTAGTTTAACTACCAGTAGGGTCACCCATGCCGGAAAGTTCAAAGGGTAAAGTCCAGACTGAGAGAGATAACCTGGTCCTCCAGGTTGGGGTTTTGACATGAGGCTAACAACTTCATCCTTTAAAAATAATTTTGTTCAGAAACCTAACATCCAGCCTCGGTATATCATGCGTGGGTCCATTCCTATGTCAGCACGCATTGGTTGTGGAGACTGGTTGTAGAGGAGGCCAAGGCTCACCCAGGGCTGTAGCGCCGAGTGGTTGGTAGGTAGGTAGATAAATTATCTGACACAAAGTCACCCAGGGACAGATACAAAGGCGCCAAGTTGCTATTCTTTTTGATCTGAAATTTATTATATACAGTCCTGTACACTCAATTCATACAGACAAGCGTATCCTTCAATATAACACACGAATAAAATGCATAAAATTAATATATAGCCAAATTTACTGGCAGAATAACACCTGGTGAAGCTCAGGATTACTGAGTTTCCGGATTTTGTCCATAGTCTGGAAACTTTTTTTAGAATACAGGACAATGGGCAAAGCCCAAACCCCACTAAAAGTGAGTGCTATACATCATCGTCAGAATATTTTAGAACCTGAAGGGATCTATCTTCTGAGATATAACGCTGTGTAGTCCGTTGAAAATCAACCAACGTTTCGGAGGAACATACCTTCCATCTCCAGGGTGGAAGAACTAAACGGCGTTATACCCAGAAGATAATAGTCTTCATAACCACCACTGTGAGAACCTCAAACCCTTTAGGATCTACGGGATGAAGCATATGAAAATCTTTATACTCCTACATTAGCAATACTAAAAAATACAGCTTAGAAACTAAGCACAATTGGAAACAAATAACACTATTTGGAATGTTATAAATTATTCCCTATAATTTCTGTGTTTTGCAAACCGTAAACAGCGCATCATTAACATGGCATGAATGGAAATGTAAGCTGTAATGGGGTGCATATTATCTTGTTAACAAATATGTTAACAACTCATTGACCTAAATGCTCTTTTATTGGGGTTTCACAATTAATCACGCTGCAATTATAACACTGCGCAGAGTCACAAATGAGTTTTCAATAATCTAATTAAATAGATCAGATGTCGAAAAGGTTTCAAACAAAATACACAGACTTTAACTATATCCGTATACTAATTTCTGAACTATAAAATCAGGTTTAACAATATTATAAAGTCTAATTTCTGCTTTATGTAAACAAAGCTGTAATTTTCCGGTACACACAAAATTCCTGTAAATTTCACTGTTTCGTCCCATACAAAAGTCATCGAAGTTAGTTGAACAATTTCGTATACATAATATATGGACGTACAGAAACTAATACCATTCAGTTGATCTACTTTATGGAAAGAACTGATTCAAATTTAAGTTCCTCTATTTAACCGGTAATTTGTTAGTACATAGAAGCATAAAAATGATAATGAAACAGGAGATGGTGATTTTCATTTCATGCATCCTGTTGTGTTACAATATACAACCTCTTTATTAACCGTCACAACACAACAAATATGGAACTTTATATAGTGTATGGAACTTAATACTAGAATATGATATTCAAAGATAATTTTCTATAGGAGGAAAAGCTTGGCTACTTGTATGTTTCTACTTTTCATCAAAGTGCCCAGACACTAAAATCTGCTCATTTTATTTACACTCGACATAGAAGATTTACTCCTTGTCATTAAGGTACTGACATGAAGAACCGGAGAACGTTCTGCAGGAAGCAGTACATCGGAACTCGCCGTACGTTCCTGGAAGTTGCCACCACCTCTAGGAAAGCGTTCAGGATTTATTACGGTTGTCGTCCTCCCATGACCAAAAAATGTACGAGGACACTAGCATGAGGTGACCGGAAATATACATTCGTTTCCTAATAGTTCATTGAGAACTGAGTGTGTTAAAGAATTCATAAATATGGTATGAAAGATATTTACCTGTCAATAAACATTCTATAGAAACGGGGGCGCTGAGTATTGACCATTTAAGCACTTGGTGATATGATTACAGACGTTCAATAGAAACGCAGCGGGAATTACGGAGAGATCAATCCAGTCAAGTGCTTGCATAGTATTTCGGCCACGACCACTTCCATCCACATCCTTTCAAATTCCCTAATTGCTCTCACCCTGCCATTCGACATTATTATTATCTGATACATTGAAAAGGTCATTACATGAAGGAAGAGTAATAAAGGCAATGTAGTACTACATTTAGAAACATGTTTTGTATTCATGTAGTTCTTTAATATGATTTCTTTACGTCGGGGAATTCCGAACATTCGAAAACCCTTAATACATAAGTCACAGAGGACTTCAAATTTCTAGTAAATGCGATTTTGACGATGCAACTCAAACAGTGCGGACAGCGTAACGTTTTATAACCGATGTTTTAGAGTAGCAATAAAATTGATCCTTTTTAACTTCCCGTAAATCCGTTCCAATCTACCAGCTCTGACACCGCTACTTTTCGCGAGGATAAATGCACATATACAGTATGAAGTAAAAGAAAAACATAAAATGAACACCTCACACAATCAGTCTGCCAGCCCGTCATTAGCCATTATGAAAAAAACAATCATAAAATATATAATTTTTACATGAACTATCCGAGAGTACGCGTATCCTGACTTCTGCTTCGTATAGGATTTCAGCTGAAGCCCGGCTAATATGACAGATTTTCAGTGTTTTTCTTCATAACCTCCAGGCAAATGCTTGGACAAGACCTAGAAACTTGCTATCGGCAGGAGTGTGGTGGGGGGAACTAGTGGTTGATTTTTCTTCAGGGCTCTGTCTCAACATTCGCATCTAGAGACTGAGAAAAACATTATATGTACATCTAATAATAGATACCCAGTGTTCTGGGTGATGCTTGACCAGGTCATATACCGAACACAAGCCATAAGTATTACTGCTAATAAAATATTTTCATTTACTTCTTGCTGATTTTTATTTTATTTACTTATTGTTGCTATCATCATCATCATCATCATTATCATAGTTTCATATGAGTCTGTAAATGTGCAGTATGTAAGTATCATCTCCACCTTTCCTTTTGCTACGTCTGTTTGTGTGGGGCACGCGGTAGCGTAGTTGGTTGAGGCACTATGCTACCCAATAAGGTGAATTTTTTCAATTGACCTAATCTTTTCAGCCGCATTATGGCCCTGGGGTCGACTCAGCCTCTAACAAAAATGAGTACCAGAAATCTTCCTGGTACAGGGATAGGTTTACCCTTTTTTACGTCTGTTTGTGTTCATCACAACATTCCTTCCTCCTTTCCCTTATTCTTCTTCTAGCTTCACATATTTCTTAGGAATTAAGGTTCCACAGAATTACTTAACTCCGGTGTCACCAGCGGATTCCTTTCCTCTCTCATGGTTTCGCACACGACTACCAACTTGTGACCCTACAGGGAGCTCAGAGACACGGAGTTAGTGGACCAAACTCATTGCTCTTACATGCAGTTAGTTATTTATAGTTATTTAGAGAGGGTGGGTTTCCCCATGCACCGCGACCAGTTTGATCTATTGTGCTTCCCTCTATGATATTCTACCAGTCTCTATACCCTACCGATAAATGGTGCGTACCATCAGTCCCACCGAGCAAGCGAGTTCGGTCACTTGCTTAGCGGTGTCTATAATGCTTCCTCCATCTATCAGAGGCCTTAGACACTATTGTTGGGCGGGAAACGTCCTGGAATTTGGCTCAGTGATCCCCTCTGGGGATATGAGATTCTGTTACGTGCCGTAAAGTTACGACACGGGACACACAGCTTAAAGTCCCTCCCGGAGGAAGTGTTCCATGAATTTTTCCGCCCTTAAAAATTCGACGACCTCCGCCGGGTATTTGAACCCGAGTACCACGAGTCAGGAGGAGGGAACGTTACCTCTAGACTACGGAGGCCGCGCTCCTACATGCAAGTCCAGATACAAAGTCCGGACAATAAGTCGTGTACCATCACAGGGTGTTTTTGTTGGGGCCCAAGTAGCACAGCCACTCGGACAGTCGCATAGCTGCTGGTTTGTGTGTGCCGTTGTGACGTGTTACCGCTGACTGGAACCTGTGCTGTAAACGACTGGAAGCCCTCTGAAGACGAGTAGTCATATAGTACATATCTGCACAGATTACAGCGGGGAGTTATGGGAGGTTATTCACATAACAAAAAATTAAGACTCGGAGGTTGTCACTGATACAGAACTTGACGTTAAGTTCTTCCCTTGTCAGTGACTTTCTGGAAGGGTAAATCCTCTGACGTTTTCTTTGAGATCAGGAGGTCACGGAGATCCTCATGCAGGTAAAGACATGAAGATCTGTCACGTGTCTGGGGTTCCGTGACAAATAATTTTGGATTCTGCATTAGACGAAGCTGTTTATCGAATAACTCGTTTACAATTACAACTACAACCACTCTGAAATGTCTTCCAGACAATGGGACCTGACTAGTCCGTCTTCTCTCACGTTTCGTCTTCTGGTTCTTGGATGAGCTGGTTTCTTCTCCGATCTCAGCTCTGTTCCGTTCGACATTGATCTGGTCTTCTCTTTGGCCTTCTCTGATCTGATCTGTCCAGTCCAAGTCCAAGTCACATTGCGACTGACGGTCAGTTTGGTCTCTTAGTTTCTACAGTCTGACGGACTAGAAGACACCTTTTTGAAGGGTTTCGTTTCACGTGTTAGCTAATGTATTCGTTAGCTTGTTAATTCGTTTCCCCCGTAACGTGTTTTCATTTTTAGGCAACACTTTGATTTTATCTCTCGTGTATTGGTTGTTGCGGGAACAATTCTTATTCAGTCGTTTCCCGGCAATAGATATCTCTGTATGCTCAGTCTCGGAAACGTATTTTTAACAAGTTGTTGTCTAGCAATGGACGTCCGCTCAGACTCAAGCTCCT